AACGTTTCGAAATTTGGGATGCAGGTTATTGCATCGCAACCTTAACAAAGATAGTACAACCATCTTTGGAAGGACTCAAACAGGACACACACATTCCAAAGCACATTGAACCAAGAGAAACTGTATAAGTACACACCAAATTCTGGTGTCCCGATATACTAATATTCTTTTCGATGAGTATATCACTCGGTTCGACGTTTTGCTGATCCTCACTATCATCGTCAATCTCAGTCTCATCATCCAACATAACATCTTCATCATCATCTTCATCATCATCAGCCGAATCAGCATCGTCATCATCTTCATCTTCGTCATCACCGCTATCACCTTCCGAGTTATTACTTGAACCCTCAGATCCTTCACAAGACTCACCGTCGTCAATAAAATCATCTTCAGAATCGTATTCATCTGTTTGGTCCATATCATCAGTATCATCGCGCAACTCTAGATCAGATCCCATATAATCCTCAAAACCATAATCATCATCAGTACCACGACCAGATAAAACCTCGGTATCATCAGAGTCACTATCTTCTGCATAGATAAATATATGAAAAAAAACAACGTAGTTAGAATTCAAAAATAAATATCAAAAACGAAAAAAAGAAAAAAACGGTGCTCAAAACAGAGAAAGGTCTTGCGAGAATTGAAACCATTAGATTCTTTATTTATAACCCAAGCATTCCTCGCAAAATCTCATAGAAAGGTCTTGTGAGTATGATCGCTCGTATTAACACGATCAGAACCTAAATGCACAAAACAAACATCAGAACAAACATAAATACGTATAAAAAAATTAATATACATCAATAACAAAAAATATGTTACAGGAAGAGCAGAAATACCTCCTTTGATAAAAAAACTTGTGATCAAGCATAGATATATAATACGCAAAATCAATATCTACATAAAAAATGAATACGTTCGTAGATTAATATATAGTAAAGGTACGAATTTGAAAGACTGAGATATAGTTACAAAACTGTAAGATTAGTAGACAGTACTACAAACCTTTGATAGCAGGATTATATGTCCGCAAGGTCCATTCGTCGATAGCAGGATCTATATGCAACTTGCATGGATAACCCAAAAATACAAAACAACTACTAATAAGTATTATAACTTGCATGAATAACCTAAAGAGGCATAACCCGTGAGCATAAGCCTCGTTATCACAACTTTTTTTTGTGATATCGACGAAAACGTATGGAGTTACGTAACGATAATCAGTCATCTCTTTGTGATCCATATTCTGACGATCCGAATTCAACACAGATCTTAACCCCTGAGCATAAGCCTGGTTATCAAAACCTATGGTCAAACAAATCTTTAGAATCGTTAAAAAAGTAGAGAGCATATATATTATTATTAATTTGAGGATAGCTAGATATATACCCGAAGCAGTACACGGAACTTCTCAAGTGATGATGACTTTAGATGGATGATCAAAGCTGTACTTAGACGAACACATAGTTAGGTTTGCATGCAAATAGACAAACATGATGAATCTTTTCTAAAGAGATCCAAAAAATTAATGCTATTATAAAAACCCTAGCAAAATAAACACGGAACTCTAACAGAAAAACTAAACTGTAAATTATGAGACGATTGGTTGAAAACACTCATATTTATACGTCTAAACAACTTAGGATTTATTTTCTTGTAAAAAATACTAAAAGGTAATTCTTGTTTCATATATGATATTATTTTTCCATGAATTTCGTAGTTATTAATTATTAAAATGTAAAGATTCCATTCTAGATAATAACAAAGAAAATTATGATATATTTCCTTTTGCAAAATATTAAACAAATAAAAATTATTTCCAAACATCGAATTGTATCAAAAATCTAAAAATTAAAAAAAAATTAACCACAAAATTCAAACCCGTGAGCATTTGCTAAGTGGACAAAGCACTTAACCAACACAGCTACCATCTCATTCAGCATAAAGGATATATTGGAAGATATGTATAATGTTTCTGTATTTAAAAATTTGGATATTGGGCTACGTTATTCGATAGTTAGAAATACGGCTCATTTTCCATTTTTTTAAATGATATTAGCATTTAATATACGGTTTAATAAGCATTTAATTTATGGTTTAAATGATAAAAAAATAGTTAATTAACCAATCAAATTATAACGTGAGATGACCAATCAAAATTCATGATTTTTATTAATCAAAACGACACAAAAGTGTGTGCGTTAAACCACAGCACAATTCACTTCTTAAATATTATAATAGATTTGACAAGCAAACTTTAATTCAACTGTAGTGATACGCTGGAAAACTTTAACTATAAGATTCATCCCATTCCCGACTCAAATGTTCGAGTTTCAGAGAAATTACAATTAATAAATTCTAAGGCACCATAAAGATGTTCCCAAACAACAAAGATATGCCTACCCCTAAACTCTAATTATATATAGTCATCAATATTTCCACTAAAATAATTTGTAATAACTAATTAGTGATGGATATGGAAAAACGTGTAGTGCGATAGTGCAAAGTAACATGATACGATTTACGACAATGATAGAAGAGATGACTTTCACAGAGAACCAATAACTTACAATTATGTTAAACTCTAATCTATAACTGTTTATTTGAGAGGTCGAAATCATGAACAAGAATTTTTACAATAAACATAAATGTTTCTTTTTGTATAACAATAAAAACCTAAGCGTTATTTTGACAGAATGCTAGCTGTGGCACAAAGCTTGTTACGTTAAACTGCATAAAATAAGAGCAGGCCTTATGCCACTTTATCTTTTTGTTAAAAAGAACATAGTTTATAAGCTAACCAAGATGGAGACAAACAATCTATATTTATTTCTCTTTTAATAAACAATAATTTACAGAATTTGAAATTCGAACGATGGAATCTTACGAGTTGCGAGGACGAAAAAGTTTTGGGGACAAAAACCAAATGCATGTGGAGTATTGTGGCTGAATGATTAATTTAGCTTTTGTGCATGTATATAACACACAAAAAAATAATTATTTTACGAGAAAATCAATATTAAAGTGGACAAAGTTGTTTCAAATTCTGTATTTCATAGGTGTTATCTATTAACAAGTACACGTTATTCCATTGATATTATGCATGAAAATTAACATTTTATCACAAAAAAGTCTTACCAATAATCGACTCCCATAGTCAACTAAGTGCTAATTATAGACGTCACAGTTTTAGCTCTTTTGTATCACAACTTGTCACATATAAAAATCTCTACCACTTTATATAGCTATCTAATATCCAATCTAACAGCTATATGCAAGAAATCAATGTAAATACACAAAACAGTGTTATCCAAAATGCCCAAAGATAATTACATCTTTTAGTTCTGTGAAAATAATTATTCCTTGAACCAAAACGCAATTAAACAAACTACAGATAACATGTAAGGTATATAAACACAGAAAACACATTCTAAGATAGACCTATTCATAAAAATATCATAACGGAATGTATTTTGAAGGTCACTGGGATTAGGCCATTAGGGTTTGGATAACTGGTTCTAATTAGAGTTGGTGATGAGGTAGTAACACGATCTCTAGATATAGCTAGGGGATATAGAGAATTAAGTGACCAAAGTCACTACAATTCTCACAATGAGGGAAACGACGAGGGTGATGTACAATATTAACGGTCATAGAATTTCCAAAGTACACAGAAACTTATTTATCCTGAGCCTCCTTGTTATCCCACTAACGCCTTTCTTAAATCTTTCACGCCATTGGCAAGCTTATCTATCGTGAGCTTAATACAGAGAATAGCCATTCATTATGCTCATTAGAGTCTTTGATGCGGTCATCAAAGAAGATATTCCGACTTTGTCATCTGCACTTATCCAGGACAAAACCAAAGTAGCGAAAGCAATTAACGCAAACCCAAATGGAGCCTCTCAGTTTGGCTTTAGTACCCGTGACAAGAGTTCGAGCTTAGAAGTTCAAGCTGCTTATTAATTTAATTCATCTCGGGAATGTTTGATGAAATCCGTTTAACCGCAATGCCAACCGTTGGCGAGACGAAGATTATTACATTGGTCTATAACAAGAATAAATGCAAGTTGCTGAAAACAAAGAGTCATTCTTAGAATAACATTCAAATACCACTATCCATAAAGATGTAATGATAATTTGAACAAATTAAGTTATGTACATATTAATGATAGTTTATCCTAACTTTATCTTAAGAGTAGATTATTCTCTTATTTTTATATTTTTCAAAATATTTTTGAAGAGGCGATCTATACTAATTTTATTTATTGGTTTGCCAATTTTCTCTAAACAAACAATTATTTTGATTCATGGATGGACCAGAGCCAATTCATAGCTCCTTAGTTAATGACTTTTTTTGGGGGTCCTATATCTATTACAACTAAAAAATTTATCAATTTTCTAATCAGGATTTCGGTCAAACTAGGTTTAGACTGTTATAGATTTTCTCCACACACAAGAGAGTATCACGTGGTTGAGAGCTTTTCTATTATTTTTTCTTAGTTGAAGCATAAATTTAAGTTTCCTTTTGGCTTGAGTATATTTGAGTTCTTTTTGTTCCAACTGTGTATATTTTAGTTTGTGTTCACACATTTACGTGTATTTATATCATAATTATATATATGACACTCTCATCCTGCATTATCTCCCTAAATTCCTCACATAGTTTTCTGTCTTCTCTCTTCTTCTAGTCATGGGGAGAGAGAAAGAATTTTGCAAGTCATGGAGCGACATGAAGAAACACCTAAACGACACCGTTTCTAAGAGTGTTCCCGGTCGTTTCTTCAAGCTAGAAGCAAGAAAAACAACTTTTACAACCGAACTCCGAGCAGCAACCGCCACATTTCTCACCATGGCTTACATCATCACCGTCAACGCCACCATCCTAACTGACTCTGGCGCCACGTGCTCCTTCCACGATTGCTCCTCCGTGGCCGGTTCTTCACCACCTAAACCGGACTGCGTCCTTGGCTCTAACCAAGGCTACGAAGAATGTCTTACCAGGGTCAAAAAGGACCTCGTTGTGGCTACTTCTTTATCAGCCATGGTGGGTTCATTAGCGATGGGTTTCTTAGCTAATCTCCCTTTTGGACTTGCTCCAGGAATGGGCGCAAACGCTTACATCGCATACAATGTTGTCGGCTTTCGCGGTTCTGGTTCCATCTCTTACCATACCGCTATGGCCATCGTGCTACTCGAGGGATGCACGTTTCTTGCAGTATCCGCTTTTGGACTCCGCGGGAAACTGGCCCGTCTCATCCCTCAAACGGTGAGACTTGCTTGCGCGGTTGGTATCGGAATGTTCATCGCCTTTGTTGGTTTGCAGATGAACCAGGGCGTTGGGCTTGTGGGACCGGATAAGTCAACTCTGGTAACGTTGACCGCTTGTTCCGAGATCGATCCCCTCACCGGAGCTTGCCTCGGAGGGAAAATGAAGAGTCCTACGTTTTGGCTAGCGGTGGTTGGGTTTCTAATAACGAGCTACGGTTTAATGAAGAATGTTAAAGGGAGTATGATTTACGGAATCGTGTTCGTTACCGTTGTTTCTTGGTTTAGAAACACTCAAGTTACAACCTTTCCTCACACTCCTCTCGGAGACTCAAACTACAACTACTTCACAAAAGTCGTTGACTTTCACAAGATCCAGTCAACGTTAGGAGCTATAAGCTTTACGGAGTTTAGAAGGAGCGAGGTTTGGGTTGCGTTTGCTACTCTCTTCTACGTTGACCTCCTTGGCACGACTGGAGTTCTCTACACGATGGCCGAGATCGGAGGCTTTGTGGAGGAGGACGGGACATTCGAAGGAGAGTACACGGCATATTTAGTCGACGCTGGCTCCTCGGCGGTGGGGTCCGCCTTAGGAGTTACAACGACGGCGACTTTCGTGGAGTCATCGGCGGGATTGAAAGAAGGAGGGAAGACGGGGCTAACGGCCGTTATCATCGGAGTGTATTTCTTGGCGTCGATGTTTTTGACGCCGTTAGTGACTAACGTGCCTAGATGGGCGGTGGGGCCCTCATTAGTGATGGTTGGTGTGATGATGATGGGAGTTGTGAAAGATATTAGATGGGGAGAAACTAAAGAAGCGGTAACGGCGTTTGTAACGATATTGCTTATGCCGTTGACTTATTCCATTGCTAATGGGATTATTGCTGGTATTGGTGTATACTTTGCTCTAAGCATGTATGACGTCGTTTTGGGATTCGCCACGTGGTTAAACGGGGTTAAACGGGTGATGAAAGAGCATAATCAAGTTTCCTCCGACGCTTCCGTCGAGATCGTATGAATTGTTGTTGACGGTATTTGACGTTGTCACTGAACCGGTTTAGTGGTGTGAGTGTACCGGAAGTGGTGGAAAGTTTCACATGGCCGGTCGCTGGATGGCCATGCGAAGACCCGTCATGTATGCTTTGGTGGGTTTTGTTTATGTTTCTTTGTTTATTTTTTTTTCTTTGGTTTTGTTATTTGGGTTTAATTAGTTTTGCGTAGGAGAGAATAGTGAAGTAACGTTGGATGCATTAGCTGCCATGAAAAGTGTGTTGCGATAATTCATGGCTGCTTGTGCATGCATTGTTCGTAGGGTTTTTATGTTTCAACCAAACGCTTTTCTTTTGTTTTGTATATCAAAGACGTTTGAATCCTAACTCGCATTTTGGCTCTTTATTAATTTGCTTTCAAGTTTGTAGCCATCGTTAAGTAGCGCTATATAATCCAAAGATTGTTGAAACTGTATTTCGGATTAGTTGTTGTAAATTTAATAGAAATTTAAATGGTTGGTGGAAACATGAATAAAGCTGCCGTATGCGATAATCACTAATATTTACCACATCACTAAGCCTTAAGATGTTTTGCGTTTTGAACGTTTGAAACTTTATTGCTTTCAAAACGTTTTTAGTTTCATGCTAATTCTCAAAATTCATATTGCTTGGTACCTACATAAATTTATATCAATATGGTTATTGAAGAATTTGAAATAACACAACAAATGGATTTAATTTCAGAGTAGACGATCGACAGTGCAATGTTCCTAAATTTTTCAAAAGGTCTTTGCAATATCAAACTTTTACTTGGCAAATTAAAAGATACTTCATTCAATTTTTTTTAACTTGGCATAAGACACTTGATTAAAAGTTACTTGGCAAATTAGATGTCTCGACATCTTCAACATCTCTTGAAAAGTCTTACAATGTACCGAAATCGAAATTTTGTATATATTAGGGTTTAGACATTTTTGTGTCCAGGCATATGACTCTATAATCAATATAAGTCTTTTGGGTTTTCTGTATATTAGCGATAATTTGTAAATACAAAACGTAATGTAAGTATATAACCAAGTTTGATAAATTATAAACATATTTATTTCTTAGGATTCCCTCTTATCTCTTGTTTTACCTCTCACGCTAACATATTATGAAGTCTACAAATCAAAATTTCGAGGAAGTATACACAAAAACGTTTTAATTTCATGCAATGAAACTAAAAGTCTGAGAAATAAAGCATAGGTAAAAATTAGTAGGCTTAATTCGATATCTATTATTAATGAGTAACTCATTGTCTTCTTTGAAGATTTATGTTCATAGTTATGAAGAAGAAGATCAGTGCTGCAAAAACAAAAACAAAAAGGGTAATAAGTGATCTTAAAATAAGATAAATATGTACAAAAACAAGGGAACACATAAATGCATTTTGAAGCTTACATCCAATAATTTTGGGTCGAACACTTGAAGATGCACCGGTTGGTGTTATAACTACATAAACAACAAAAAATCATTAACTTTTCAATTAAAAATTAAGACGTGGAGTAAACCAATTGGTTACAAAACTTAGTCTAAATTTAGTTTCAGTTATTAAAAACAAATCCATTTAAATCTTATATAGATTTTTGTTTAATTTCCGTATTATATCACTTTCATACTAAACACCCTAAATATAAATTCGAATATGCTATCACAGTTTTGCTTTCTCATTTTTGAAATCAATGAAATAAGTTGCTAGTTTTTTTTTTTTTAAATATAGACAAGTCCATCTTAATATACTTTTACTTAAAATGAAAAGGAAAAACAAAAAATATGATAATACCAATACAAACCTGAGTCACAGTTTGTGGTAGAATTGTGGTGGTCACAGATGCAAACATGCCTAAGCCCTCCACCACCGGCAGATTCGTAGCCACAAGTCCCTGAAGTTGCAACACACGCGCGACAAAATGCATCACTTCCTTGTAGCTCGTACTTGACTCGTATACCATAAGCCCAATCAGAAGGTCCTTCAAGCTTCAACGGTGCAAGATTGTATGCACTACTGTATCCTTCACACTCCAGCCTACTTAGATTAATCGCTTTTACGGATTCGAATCTGACCGCACAGCACATGGGTGGACCCGAACCGGATGATGGACCCGGTTGTCTGTATCCGACCATATCCCATGCTGGACACGACATGTACTCTTCGCAGCTCATTCCAGAAATATTGCGGCATGGCAATTTTTTATCAGGAAAGCCTAAGAATATGAGTGGGGACTGGGGAGATTAACTAAATTTAACCGAAATGAACCGGATCAGAATAGGAATGCGTAAATTGAATCTAAATGTGGTTATAATCGGTTTGGTTTTATTATTATTTTGGTCAGAAATTTCAAGACCATTTTGACCACGTGTAGTCCTGTCAAGCGGGTCAGAACCGCGCTTGATCCGCCCCGCTGCAGATACAAGTCATTTTTTTCTTTCAAAAATTTATCCGCTAGACCCGCAACTTGTAAACCATAAACCCGCACCCGCCCCACATTAATCAAGCGGGTCTGGCGGATAACCCGCTATGAAAAAAAAATCGATTTGCAAAGAGATAATGAATTGCAGAGAGCGATGATTTGGAGATAGGAGTAAATTTGCAGAGAGAGAGTGAGGGATTTTGATGGAGTTCACGAACCGGTTCGGCGAGCATCAAACCGAACCAAATTTCCAAACCCGAAATACGCTAAGTAATTTGATACTTTGGTTATATTATTTGTTTCTGTCGTTTGTTTCAAGTTATTGATAAGAAGAGAACTGGTATTCCTTGTATATAGGAAACCACCTCTTCCACTTTGTCACTTTTCCACATTTCCTCGTTGTAAGGAGTTACGACTCCACTCTGCTTCTTGTACTTCTATTTAAAGAAATGAAAAGACCAAAAATAGGCAATCTCAATTGCCAAACAAAAGTTTACTGTGTTCTTGTTCTAAGTGCTATAACCGGGACCATCAATTGGTATCGGAGCATTCTTTTCTTTTCATACAAATTTTTTTTCCCCTTTCACCAAAAACAATTTCACCAAAAAAAAATCAAACCCGTTGATCGTGACTTTACCAGAGTCAATGGCTAGCACGAAAGATCGTTTGGATAACCTGGAAACAGGGTTAGGGATGGTTCAGGATGAGTTACAAAAGCTCACCTCCGGCATTGCAGAAAAATTACGAAGCATGGAGGACTCAAATGCCGAGAAGCACCAGAGTTTGGAGAATTCAATGAATCGTATGTTGGAGATGCTCTCTCGCCATCGTGAGAGTGACTCTAGTGCTCCCCGTAGTAATCGTCCCCACCCAAATAGCCCACCCTCGATCCACAACCACAATGCACCAGCCAATCCGACAACACCAACTGACGCACCAATCCTCCACCGTCGCATCAAGCTCGATTTACCCCGTTTTGATGGTGACGACCCGACGGAATGGATTAGCAAAGCGAAACAATACTTTGCTTGTCAAGACATTCCCCCAAATCAACAAGTCAGCTTGCGTCATACCATCTTACGGCAGCAGCGAATGAATGGTGGTTGGCGACCATGAAAGCACTCGGTACCAACGCACACACCACCACTTGGGAGACGTTCGAGACCGAGATGCGAGTACGATTTGGGCCATCCCGAGGTGATAATTTCCATGAAGCACTGTCCAAAATTCGCCAAACAGGCTCCCTACGCGATTACCAACAAGAGTTTGAGAGGCTATCCAACAAAGTTAGCAACTGGTCCCAAGAAGCTCTTGTCGGCACATATCTGGGAGGTCTACATGAATCAATTGCTGCTACTGTGCGGATGTTCTCACCAACGACTCTACGCGAAGTCATCAACCTTGCTCGTTTAAGCGATGACAACCTCCAGATACAACGACGCGTATTTGGAGCTCGAAATTCCCCTTCCGCTTCGCAACCCCGTCCTTTTGTTCCCGCACTACCACCGCCACACCCCACCACCACACCTGAATCCAAATTCCAGAACCCAAAAAAGTTAACGTGGGAGGAAATGAAGTGCAAACGAAGTCTCGGTCTGTGCTTCAGTTGTGATAAGCGCTACACACCTGGACACAAGTGTCGCAAATCGCAATTGCTCTTAATGGAGGGTCTCGATGCTGATGACGATGAAGATGATGATGTTTTTCATGAGATGGAGGAGTCGGAAATCACCTTACAATCGCTAACCGGCTGGGATTCTCCACATACGTTACGTGTGGCAATGGAGATTAATGGCCATTCTCTCATCGCGTTGATTGACAGCGGAGCTACTCATAACTTTATCAGCACCACCACCGCCAATCGACTTAATATGCAGCTCACCCGAGTTAGGCCATTCCAAGTGAAGGTTGCAGATGGTCATCCTCTTCGTTGTCATGGTTCCTATCGCGACATCACCATGCTCATTAGCGGCGTTCCCTTCCCGATTGACCTCTTCGTCCTTCCTCTCACCGGTCTCGATGTCGTCTTAGGGATCAGTGGCTATCACAATTGGGCCCTACCCCTTTGTGATTGGAAAGCCCAAACTTTACAATTCATGTGGGCCGGGCAACAACGACGGATCTGTGGGCTTCAATACCAGAAAATTACACAAGCTCATTCTGCAGAAATCACCAAAGAAACCAAATTGGGCCAGACTTGTTTTGCTCTGCGTATTCATGAAGAAAAAGACACTGCGTCGTCTCCACTTCCTACCGACCTGCAACGTCTTCTACAACAATTCACCGGAGTTTTTCGAACCCCAACAACACTTCCACCAGAACGTGATATTGAGCACCACATCGCCCTGAAGGAAGGCTCAGACCCCGTCAACGTCCGCCCTTACCGTTATGCCCATTTTCAGAAAGCAGAGATTGAAAAACAGGTCCGTGAAATGCTTGACTCTGGCTTAATCCGACCAAGCTCCAGTCCATTTTCATCACCGGTACTCTTGGTGAAGAAAAAAGATGGTTCATGGCGCTTTTGCACTGATTACCGAGCTCTTAACACCGCCACAATAAAAGATCGCTTTCCAATTCCAACCGTCGATGATATGCTTGACGAGCTTCATGGTGCCACCATTTTCACAAAACTCGATCTTACCGCAGGCTACCACCAGGTTCGTGTTCACCCTCCTGACATCCACAAAACGGCTTTCTGCACTCATAATGGCCACTATGAGTATTTAGTAATGCCGTTTGGTCTTTGCAACGCCCCTTCCACATTCCAGTCGCTGATGAACTCTGTTTTCCGTGATCATCTCCGCAAGTTTGTTCTTGTCTTCTTCGATGACATATTAGTTTACAGTCGCTCTTGGGAGGAGCATCTCAAACATGTGAAGGTTGTTTTGGAGTTACTGCAAGCACATAGCTTGTTTGTCAAACGCAAAAAATGTGAATTTGGGAAGCTGGAATTGGAGTATTTGGGTCACATTATTTCAGGCGAAGGTGTAAAGGTGGACCAGACAAAAATCAAATCGATGACAGATTGGCCGGCACCTTCCACGATAACAGAATTACGAGGCTTTCTTGGTCTTACGGGTTATTACCGTAAGTTTGTTCAACATTATGGAATCATTGCACGACCCTTGACAAACTTATTGAAGAAGGGCAAGTTTCATTGGGATGCTGCAGCAGAGAAAGCCTTCCTTGCTCTCAAAACAGCAATGACGACTACACCAACACTGGCATTGCCGGACTTCTCAACACCCTTTGTAATCCAAACCGATGCTTCCGGTGAAGGGATTGAGGCTATTTTATCGCAGCATGGCAGACCCATTGCATTTATGAGTCGTTCTCTCGGCGTGGCAAAAACAAAATTGGTCCACCTATGCTCGTGAAATGCTCGCAATTGTTGTCGCAGTTCGCACATGGCGACCGTATCTCCTCGGCCGCCGCTTCACCATCCAAACAGACCAACGCAGCCTCCGGTTTCTTCTAGAGCAGAGAATCCTCACTCCAGAGCAGCAAAAGTGGATGTCCAAACTGGTGGGTTACGGCTACGAAATCACTTACAAACCTGGACCAACCAATGCCGCCGCGGATGCTCTGTCTCGTCGCACTGACAGCCCCACTCTTTTCGCTGTATTCACGACTCGGACCACTTTTTGGTCAGACCTTCGCAATCTAATGAAGTCGTACCCTTACTTGCTGAAATTTGCCAACCTCGCCGCCTCTTCGCCAGGACAACCGTACCCTTGGTGGAATGGTCTCCTTTGTTACAATAACCAGGTAATCATTCCTCCGACCTCTTCTCTCATCCACGAATTGTTGCATGAGTACCATGATTCACCGATTGGCAGTCATTCCGGTGTTCTGCGGACATTCAAACGGCTTTCTCAGCTATTTTACTGGCCGAGTATGCACAAATCGGTTCGTGATTATGTGGCGGCTTGCGATACGTGTCAACGGGCTAAGTATGACAGTCTCGCTCCTGCGGGGTTGCTACAGCCGCTTCCAATCCCTTCTCAAATCTGGGAGGACGTCTCGATGCACTTTATAGATGGCTTGCCTCGCTCAGACAATCACACTTCGATTCTGGTCATCGTTGATCGTCTTTCCAAAGCAGCGCACCTGGTACCTCTTTCTCACCCATACACAGCTCGTTCTGTTGCAGCAAAGTTCATCGATAATGTTGTCAAACTCCACTGAATTCCGAAATCAATTGTAAGCGATCGTGCTCCAGTATTTGTTAGTGCTTTTTGGCGTGATCTTTGGAAACTTTCAGGCACTAAGCTTCGAATGTCCTCGGCATACCATCCTCAAACCGACGGCCAAACCGAGGTTGTGAATCGCTGCATCGAGCAATTCCTTCGTAGTTTTGTTCATGATCGACCTAAACAGTGGAGTTCTTTGCTTCCCTGGGCAGAATACTGGTATAACACGACCTTCCACTCTTCTATTGGAATGTCGCCTTTTAAAGCTGTGTTCGGACGTGAACCACCACCATTGATCGGGTACGATCTGGGCACATCTCCTATTTTGGAACCGGACGAACAGCTAGCGGCAAGAGATGCATTATTGGCGGAGCTCAAGGAACACTTGGAGAGGGCTAACAATAGAATGAAACAGACCGCCGATGCTAAGCGTCGTGACATCACATTTGCTGTTGGTGATTGGGTTTACTTAAAACTTCACCCCTACCGCCAACACACAATTTTCCGACGCACATCTCAGAAGTTGTCAACTCGCTATTATGGACCCTTTTAGATTGAAGCTCGTATTGGCCCTGTTGCGTATCGTTTGAAGCTTCCGGAAGGTACCAAAGTGCATTCTGTTTTCCATGTCTCTCTCCTTAAGAAGCGCATTGGATCAGATGTTCCACGTTCAGGGACTCTTCCTCCACTTCGTTCCACTGGTCTGTTGCGCCTTAACCCAGAAAAGGTGTTGGACTATCACACCATTGTTCTTGCGGGGAAGTCTACAATTGAAGCTCTTGTGCTGTGGCAAGGTCTTCACGTTGATGATGCTACTTGGGAGGATTTGGATCAGCTGAAACAGAGCTTCCCATCACTGAAGCTTGAGGACAAGCTTCGTTTTGACGGCGGGAGTAATGATGGAGTTCACGAACCGGTTCGGCGAGCATCAAACCGAACCAAATTTCCAAACCCAAATACGCTAAGTAATTTGATACTTTGGTTATATTATTTGTTTCTGTCGTTTGTTTCAAGTTATTGATAAGAAGAGAACTGGTCTTCCTTGTATATAGGAAACCACCTCTTCCACTTTCTCACTTTTCCACATTCCCTCTTTGTAAGGACTTACGACTCCACTCTGCTTCTTGTACTTCTATTTAAAGAAATGAAAAGACCAAAAATAGGCAATCTCAATTGCCAAACAAAAGTTTACTGTGTTCTTGTTCTAAGTGCTATAACCGGGACCATCAGATTTGCAGAGGGATAGAGCCAGAGATAGTCGATTTGGAGAGATATGAAGAGATTTGAAGTGCAAGAGAGAAACAGAGAATCAATATGAAGATATTTGAAGTGCAAGAGAGAGAGACAGAGAATCGATATGAAGAGATTTGAAGTGCAAGAGAGAGATAGAGAATCGATTTGTTGCAGAAACAGGGATGAAACAGAGAGTCGATCTGATCTACATAGAAAAAGTTGAGAGAAAAATTCAGAGGAAGAGATAAAAATCGCCGTAGAAGGTCGAAGAAGTAAAAATATCAATTAGAAAATTTAGGGTTTGAAATTGAAACAGCGACACTTGCCAAAAAAAAAAGAAAAAAAAATTAAAAACGCTTATATGCGGATACCCGCAAATTAAATAATAAGATCCACGTCCGCCCTGCCATATACAAATGACCCGACCTGCTTTATCCATGTAATTGATATTTTAAATTTTGCCAACCTGCATCCGCCCCATGGCAGGTCTAATAGGGCGGGACCCGCGGTTTTTTAACCAAATTGACAGGCCTAACCACGTGCAAGTGGAACGATCGGACATGATTACCAGTTTAAAAACGAAAATTTTCTTATAGATCAGGGTCCATATTAAAAAAAAAGTAGTTAAGAAATTGAACAAGTATACAAATGGCATTGGGTTCACTAAATTAAACCATACCACAATTTAAAACTAAAACCGAATTTTTATGTGCCAAACTAAATCAAATGTAGCAATACTGGACCGAATATGTCAACAATTCAATTCATTACCATCAAAACCAAAACCAAGACCAAAAGCCAAAACCAACACCAAACCGGAATGGATTTTAGTGTTTGAAATGAAACCTAACCAAATAAACCAAAATTTTCCATTTTTTCTCAAATTTAAACTATAGATTAATAATATTATGTAATCATCTAATTTTTAAGGCGAAATATGTAATCATATAACAAAATATGATGATATTTAAGTAATTCTTTTGTTGAAAACAAAGCCGAATTCAAACAAACCAAAACGAAATTATACTCGAGCAAACCGAATTACAAATAGGTTTTATTTTGTTTTGGTTTCAATAAACCACAACAAACTGATAAAAACCCAAACCAGATTATAAACCGAAACAAATCAAAAACCTTAATCCTACTTTTGTTTACGCAATACATTTTTTTTTTTTTTTTTGTATGCAATACATGTTACTAACCTTGAAATATAGGAGATTTAGGAGAACATCCGATCAACATGAAGACATTATCAGAGGTAGGATTGAAATAAGGAGCTCTCCAATCCTCAGCTTCAAAGCCATTCCCTTTGCCACCAAGCACAATGGTTTCGCAGGTCGACATGTGAGGATCATGCAGCGTTATGGACTGATACGCGTAGTCAATATCCAACACTCTATAAGAACCTGAACTTATGTGAAACATCAACACATCGTTCATACAAAACAAGAGATCTCTATACCCTGGATGCCCACATCCATTTCGGATTCCAAACGGATAATCCACGGTTATGTTTCCACAGTATGATCGGCACGCATCCACAACACAAAGCTCTGAGATTGTAAGGAGTGTAAGTAGAATCAAGATTTTCATTTTTCTTTATTTGGGTTGTTTTCAATAGAGTGATGTATGAGTGATCTTTGATGGAGAGAGTAAAAGAGTTTATATATCTGAAGATTGCTTAAAGCTCAAGAGATTCTTTGCTTGTCTGAACAATAAAGCTAAACTACTACACTTTATACTCCACATGATCAAGGTATCTCCTAGGAACAAAGTAAATAAAAAATGCTCAGATAGTCTTCACTATGTACCACTAGAGCATTCAATACCTTCAAGATCGGTGAGGATCAGGTTTATAAGATGTTCGGTGCCTCTTGTATTTCCAGAACTCATCCTTCTTTCCTTTCGTCTTAGCTTGAACACGACCGAATTTGCTATTGATTATACCAAGTATGGCACTCTTATCTTTTCTGTTCTTTGTCTTCGCCTTGTCTTCAAGAATCGCCCTAAGTTTATCATAAGACCTCGGGTCTGGTACTTGCCCGCTTTTAACCATCATCTTGTGGTAAAAGAATGCTCTTTTGCAGTCTCGAACACGGACAAACGCGTAGATCATGGTTGAATATGTTATGGAATCAGGTTTTAAGTTAAGAGCAGCCATTTCTTTCAACAGCTGTGGCAGTTTCGCATCTTGTCCTCCTCGTGCGTACGCATTCATCAGCATATTGTAAGTCATAACAGTCGGCTCCAAACCCATTTTACCAAACTCGGAAACTACATCCCTCGCTTCAATGTAGTGACCTTGCTTGGCAAAACCATCAAGAAGAGTGTTATATGTAATCCGAGTCCCTCGGATTTTTTCTCTCATCATTAGTTTCCAAATCTCCATCAGCTTCTCAGTGTCGCCACACCGTCTGAATGCATCGAGAAGCGATGTGTATGTTTCGATGGACGGATTAATCCCTTCTTTACGCATCTCTTCAAAGGAAGCAAAAGCTTTCTCGTGCCAACCACTAACAGAGTAAGCATGAATAAGAGCTGTGTATGAATGTGAAGTAGGTTTCAAACCTAGTCTCTTCATCCGCAAGAAAGCATCAGCAGCCATATCACTCATCTTCTTCGTCCTCCCATACGCGCTAATCAAACAAGTATACGATTTCACATTTGGCTCTAAACCTAAACCCTCCATCTCCTTCAGAAGCGTCTCTACAATATCAGGCTGCATTCTTCTGGCGTAAGCATCCATGAGAATGTTGTAACTTGCAGCTGTTGGCTTCAAGCCTTTACCTCTCATTTCAGCAAAAAGACCTTCCACTTCTTCAATGTGGTTGGATTTATTGTAAGCATCCATCAACGTATTGTACACGATCGTGTTTGAACGGATACCTTTCTTCTCCATCTCAGTTTGGATCACAAGAGCTTCTTCTTTTAGCCCTTCATCGCAAAACGATTTCACAAGGCCACCGAAAATGTCCTGGCTCCATCGCACACCTTTCTCGCTCATCTTCTCGAATATCTCCCAAACTTCTTTCGCACTTCGTCCTGCTTTCCTCATCGTTGTGATCATTACTGCACATGTAACATTATCCGGATCCACATTGACCTTATCCATAGCTTCATACACTTCCCAAGCATCATCATACCTAATGAAGAGCGTAAACTACCATTTACTAATCTCAAAACCACATCAATTTGATCAAAAGACTACAACTTTTTTCATTTTCATCTTGGAGAGAGGAGAAAGGAAGTACCTTTGAGAAGCTGAAAGTCCAGATATGGCGGCATTGTAGAGACGAACATCTCTGAACTCTTCCTTGTCTGGTAAATTACGAAGCAGAAGCAGGATCTTATCAGCCATTCCTTCTCTACCGAGCAATGTAAACAACACAGAGGAAGCACGAGGCGAAACAAGAGAAGGGTTCTGCAAACTCATCCACTCGTGGAGATACAAACAACTCTTGACGAAACCTGATTCACCCATCATCACTAACGCCTCTACGCACTCTGTTTCGCTGACTCTTCCTTCGAAACCAGATAACATCTCTCCCAGAGTTTGATTCACTTCCAGATTCTTAGCTAGTTCCAGGATTTCCCCAGCGACGCCATTTTCGGATGCAGTGTGCACACCAAGTGTTTGTTGGTTTGCTACAGAGACGGATTTCTCAGGATCCGGGTCGATCTCGGTTTCCGGGTCGGTGAAATCCGAAGCCAAGTGCCAGGAGGTTCGACGGTTTTTCTGGAGGTAGAATTTGGATTCTCGAGAAGGGTCTTCGGTTGATTCTGCCGATAAAGTTCGTGACTTGAAGAATTTAAGAATTGGGTCTTTGAAATCATTATCTTCTCCTTCTTCTTCGACTTCTTCATCCTCTCGGCTGTTATCTTTCGAATTGTCTGCTTGTTGATCATTATCTGGAAGGGGGTCGTCGAAGAAGGAAAAGAAAATAGGAGGAGAAGAAGAAGATGATGACGAAGGGAAAGTAGCAGAGAGAGAAAGGGATTTTCGAGTGAGTGAAGAGCGAAGAGGTAGATAGAGTTCAGGGAGGAAAAGTCGGTGAGAGAGAGGAAATGAAGTATAAAAGGATTGAGTGACGAGAGATGAAGTCGCCATGGACATGACTCTAGTTCCCAAAGCGCCGAGACACGGACCATAGAAAAGTGATATAAGACTGTCTATTTAAAAACGCGCATATTAATTTGAAATCATTCAATCAATCACAAAAAAATACTGTATAATATAGATAGTCACACTGTTAAAAAAAAAAATATATATAGATAGTCACACAATTATGTCTTATAAAATATATTGTGTTATCTATTAGTCCTTGATTAGTCATTGAGTTGTTTAAACTTTCTCTCCAAGCTATTCTCATATCAATTCATATCAATTTGTAAGTTGTGACTTATGAGTTATAACCTGAACAATAAGATGAACATTTGGTGGTTTTGTGAGGGTGTTAGGGTTGAATGTTTCAGGAGAAGTTTTGAATTTGTAAACTCTAGTATCTACAAATTCACAACAGTGCGATGTAGTATTTATGGTGTCGATCTATAGGGAGAGTTGTTTTTTTTACAAAAACTTTAAACTGGGAGAGTAAACAGATTAATAGACCAATGATGGTTTCTATAGGGTTTTTGTGTTATGCAAATTGTAAAGAATACAATAAAAAGGTAAAACAAGACTAAAAGCTATAATAAAATGTATGTTGGATTGACATGAATATCATAGGGGATATTCAATTCATGCTAGGGTTTTAAGCTCATAGGGGTTGATTCATACTACTCTTGAACGTCCTAATTGATATCTAAGTATCTTCTAATTAGCCTACAAGTAATATGTCCTTATCGATTTCTTAGTATTTGCATGGAACTAGAATAGACACTGATATGGCTAGCCAACTCTCATCACCCTAACCAACTAATGACTCAAACTCAACCAGTAGCTTTCGTCTCTGGCCATGAGTGAGATCATGCATTAACTAAACTGAATTCATTCTTGCTCACATCTTTTTTGTAGGTAGCTTTAGACTCCTACAACGATTATGTTCTTTTGAAGCTATGTATGGCAATCTGATGCATCACTGTCGAGGCTCTGATTAAACCTAGGTTCAATAGTTAGATCGCAAGTTTAACTACATGCATCTAGAATAAATTATAAGAGATGAGATCTAGAATATAGCTAAGAAAGCAACAATCTTAATCGAATTTAGAGTCCCCTTCGATGGATCCCTTAAACCCAACAACTAAACTACTATAATATAATAAAAAAAAAAACATAAGCATAAAAATAGATAGCATAAACTGAATAAATAAAAGAAAAGTAATAACAAGGGTTCAAGAGATGAATCTTTATCTTCCTAACCTAAACCTAAAAAAACAAAATTTTGGTGGCTTCAAAACTAAGGCACATGAGCACACACGAAATTAAGTCTTCTAAAACACACATTTATAGGCCTTCAAGTCTTTTAGGTTGTCCTTAGGACTTTCATTGAAGAGAGAATGAATTGGGCTTGAAAGTAGGCTTGAGGGCCCATAATGGGCTTGTCGTGGATGAAAACTCTCTAGGACTGGTAAAAGATGTTTCTATCGAGGATGCAGGCTTGGAGGCTGATAACACCGTATTTTGACCACTTTTATGGATCGTTTTGAAATACTTTTTCTATGTTTTTAATTGCTTTTAAGTACTTTTATCACGTTTTTCTAGTATTTGTAGTTCCAAGACTCTTTTCAGGTAACTTAGGGAAAAGCTTAACAAAATGGATAGAAAACCAGATTTCAGCTCAGAGTCAAACCGTCAGAAGTTCACCCCTGATTGAAGGCCTTCTCACCGTCTGATCCAGCTCAAATTTGGAGACCTTAAAGATGGAAGTATCAGCTTTCCAGTGCACTTTACAGCTTGGCAATCCAACGGTTCAATCAAAAGATACGCGAAGAGCAAGATGTCCCGTAAACCAGCCGGCAAGCACTTCCACCCGCGGCCAAACACTCATTCCCCGCGGTCAGGAGCATCCCGACTGCGGAAAACCATACATTCCCCGCGGTCAGAGCACTCCCGACCGCGATCTTCAACCTCCGAGCCCAAAAAGCCCATTTCTGAAGCCCACATTTGGAGAAACCCTAAGTGACGTCCAGAGAGGTCTTGAGCACTATAAATACATGTCTTAGGAGCCCTAGAAATCGTGTAACCGAATACCATCTATCCTTACTTCATACTTTTATTGTTTTTGCTTTAGCTTTTAGGGAGAGAGAGATTTGTTCTCTTGAACCCTTGTTCTTTCTTTTTCAATTTCGGTTTCTATTCTACTTCTTAATATTATGTCTTTGATTTCGTTTATTATGTCTGAGTAGTTCTATTGTTGGGATTAAGGGATTTTTGATGGGGATTTATATGTTCGATGAGGATTCCATGAGTTTTTGAGCCGAATCTTAGAACTTTTTCTTCTGAAATTCGTTTTTACTGCATGAAAGGTAGCGTCATGAACTACAGTCTGATCCCAGATGCTTGGTGACACGAAAGTGTTCCATCAGGTATCAGATCTAGTTGGGAGAGCAAAACAAACATAGGAGTGGAAACCTACCTATGGGCGATTTGTGAATTAGGACGAGTCCTTAAACATAATGCATCTCTTCTCTTCCAGGGCCAGAGTGGAAACCTACTGGTCAGGGTTGAGAGAGATAGTTGTCTATGATCACGACAGTGGCGTATTCATACGTCCGTGACTCCAGTTCGAAAAGTTTAAGCTAAGATCTTACAAAATTTCCTCTCTAGCAATGTTTTGAATCGTTCGTACCCCTGAGAAAACTTCCCTGAACCCCAACGCTTTCTTCTCCATTGATTTACACCGATTTTCTTTAAATCTTTAGTTTAATATTGCCTTTCCTTTTTAGTTCATTTTCATTTAAGCATTAGAATCCGTTTTTATCATTTTTAGTTATTTTCGTTAAGTTTAGTTATTACGCCATTTAATTCCCGTATTCTCTTTTAATATTTCGTTTTTAGATTTTAAACACACTACCAAACCCACACTAAACCGTTTTTGTTCTAGACTTCCTTACTTTAACTTATTTCAAAGGCTTTTTGCAGGAAAAGATCCTCCTTCCATGTGGATTCGATCCTTAAGTACTACAATCGATCAGCTGTGCACTTGCGGCTATTGATTTCAATTAGGGTTAAACTTGACAACCCTCGACACCACACATCAAGTCACCACCACCACCATCAGAGGCGCGACCAAGAGGGTGTTTACCGTGGGCATGGCATCTTTGAACCGTGGTGTGATATATCATGGTTTTATGGCTTTTGACCATGATATAGGTTTTATTTATAGAGTCTTTCAAGTGGTTTTCGAGTTCTTTAGAGCTTTTTCAGGTCCTAGGTGTGTTTGGGAACTGAATTGGAGATTTTGGAGCGTTTTGGAGCTAAGCATGGATAAAATTCGTGAAGGATGATTTATTTTCCTTGGTGTCGTTCGACACCACTGATGGTGTCGCTCGACACCAATGTCATAGACAAAAGAAAGACCTGATATTGTCCAAGTTTTGAAGAATATCTTGGCCCAAAGTCTCTAATATTTACAAGAAGGCCTAACACATGTTTTTAGTTTTTAATAGGTTTTCAGCCACCTGTTTTGGCTACACTTTAGATTTTTCTTTGGAAACCGTTGATTTTATTCTTCAATACTTTTGAGAGAGATTTTGACGAGACAAGTCTGAGACTCTGAGAGAAGATTTTGAACCCATGTTTCTTAAACTTATTATTCTTTTCTGCAATATATTCAATCATTTTTATTGACTCAATTTCTATGTCTGAGTAGTTTGTTTATTAGGTTTAGGGTTCTCATAAAGGATCTCATTGGATGTTAGATAAGTTGATTGGTTAGTGATGTGTTGTGGTGTGGTGTGGGTGTCAAGTTTTACCCTAATTGAAATCAATAGCCGCAAGTGCACAGCTGATCAATTGTAGTACTTAGGGATCGAATCCACAGGGAAGGAGGATCTTTTGCTGCAAAAAGCCTTTGAAATAAGTTAAAGTAAGGAAGTCTAGAACAAAAACGGTTTAGTTGGGGTTTGGTGGTGTCTTTAAAATGTAAAAACAAAATATTAAAAGAGAGTACGGAAATTAAATGGCGTAATAACTAAACTTAACGAAAATAACTAAAAATGATAAAAACGGATATTCTAATGCTTAAATGAAAATGAACTAAAAAGGAAAGACAATATTGAACTAAAGCTTAAAGAAAAATCGGTGTAAAACAATAAGAAAGAAAGCGTTGGGGTTCAAGGAAGTTTTCTCAGGGGTACGAACGATTCAAAACATTGCTAGAGAGGAAATTTTGTAAGATTTTAGCTTAAACTTTTCGAACTGGAGTCACGGACGTATGAATACGCCACTGTCGTGATCATAGACAACTATCTCTCTCAACCCTGACCAGTAGGTTTCCACTCTGGCCCTGGAAGAGAAGAGATGCATTATGTTTAAGACTCGTCCTAATTCACAAATCGCCCATAGGTAGGTTTCCACTCCTATGTTTGTTTTGCTCTCCCAAACTAGATCTGATACCTGATGAACACTTTTGTGTCACCAAGCATCTGGATCAGATTGTAGTTCATGACGCTACTCTCATGCAGTAAAAACGAATTCAAAAGAAAAAGTTCTAAGATTCAGCTCAAAAGCCAATGGAATCCTCACCGAACATATAAATCCCCATCGAAAATCCCTTAAACCCAACAATAAAACTACTCAGACATAATGAACGAAATCAAAAACATAATATTAAGAAGTAGAATAGAAACCGAAATTGAAAAAGAAAGAACAAGGGTTCAACAAAACAAATCTCTCTCTCCCTAAAAGCTAAAGCAAAAACAATAAGAATATGAAGTAAATATTTCGGTGGTGATAGGTTACACGATTTCTTTGGACGTCACTTAGGGTTTCTAGTGCTCAAGACCTCTCTGGACGGGCTTTTTGGGCTCGGAGGTTGAAGGCCGCGGTCGGGAGTGCTCTGACCGCGGGGAATGTATGGTTTGCCGCGGTCGGGATGCTCCTGACCGCGGAAAAATGCTTGTTGGCCGCGGGTGGAAATGCTGGCCAGCTGGTTTTCGGGACATCTTGCTCTTCGCGTATC